TGCCATATTATTCCTTAGTCATTGAATTAAAGGAAAGTGAAACATTGGATATGCAGAATTTGGGAACATTCTCATCTAAAAAGATATTTCATTTGTCTATGAATTCCTCCTGCATGAAATATCCTCTTGACTTGTATCAGCGCAATTTTATGTTTTTTTTCTTCCACCAAAATACTCCTAAATGTAACACATTTTTTCAGCAGGTAATGTCTGATAATGTTCATAGCTAACCTGAAATTCCCTCTTCCCTCCGCAACCATTGAACTACCTAGAATTTCCTCTTAGCTAATCTTCCAGTTGTCCTTTGTCTTCTGTAGCTCCAGTGACAACCAGAACCACTCCAAAAGCTAAGACAACAGTTGGTATGTATCAGTCTTCATCAGATCCTGTGTTTGATTCCCAGATCATCTGAATCAGTACATTTAGGGCCAGATTTGCTAAACAGTGTACAGTAGTCTGCGGACGCAATCAAAATAAAAACTCCAGTGGGATTTCCCAGTTCTGTGGGTGATCTACTAAAATGCACAAACTGATTGAGACAGACACAGGCAGCTACTATCTAGACTTCTTCTATTCCCAACAGAACTACCTAGAATTTCCTTCTCGCTAATCATACAGTTATCCTTTTTGTCTTTGTATATTGTAAAACAAATAACGTCACTTGATATCATTTTTCTTCCTTCCTTTAGGAGTTTTGCCCTCCACCACAAGTCCAAATCCTGGTATGTACCATTATTCTCCTTGAGTTTTCGTTTTAATTTTAGCTTTTTAGTTATTTGTTTTTATATAAACCACTGCAGTCTCAGGAGTGATTCAATGTTACATTTCATTGCATGTACAGTAGTACATGTTTAACTGTTTAATGTGACAAATAAGCTTCTTGAACCTTTCGAAAAACACAATGAATGAGCAACAGGGTTTGTTTAAATGTATCTCTGTTTTACCCATGAGATTCTTGGTTTTTGGCCAGTTTTGCCATGACAGCAAATGATACAGGTTATCTGCAATCTCTGGGGGAATTCCTCTCCCAGTCAGCAAAATGTCATAGTGTATCATGGGGGACCCTTTCCCTGGCTGGCAAGTTTAAGGAGACCCCAATTCTTTGTAATTTTTCAGGTTTTACCGTTAGGTTAAACTTAACGCAGGGATGTAAGTCGCTCTGGCTAAGGGCGTCTGCCAAATGCTGTAAATGTAAATGTAAGTGTAAATGATTTAGGAACCATGAGGGACAGGGGGACATGTATCCGCAACATTTAATTTGCCTTCCTTGCCCCCCACCTCCCAAAAAATAGACATTTAAATTTTTAAGGTGCTCCCCACCCCAAACATCAAACTCTGTCTACTCTGATTACATGTATGCATTTCCTAATGGTAGCTGATCACGCAAAACAATTTCTTGATTTTTTTTTTAAGTATTTATTCTCAATTAATTACCATTTGTCTTTCATCCTTTTAAAGCATTTACCCTGAAAATGTTGTTTAAAATTCTACGTGACTTTAACCAAGATTTGGCTAATTCTTCAAGCTCAATGTTCAACATATTTAAATCAGACATGGAAGCAACTGTAAGTATATGTTCTTAAATAGTTCCAACATTCAGATATATACAATACACACATTACCTTAAATATAATTTTTGGTGTAATTTATATTTTATCCATTTTTAAGCAAACCTATCAGTTTATAATTCTGTGTATTACTCTGCTATACAACTGAAGAGCAGCATGTTATCAGCAAAGTACATATCAATTTACTGTTTGAAGAGGCTGCCAAAAGCAGTTTATTAAGCAGGCATTTTAATTAACATAAGATTTGTTCTTTTACCCAGCTCACTGCAAATTACAAAAAATTAAATGGTTTTGTTAGAGTCTATGTCCTTGGCTTCAGGTAAGTTTTCTCCTTAAAACACAATATATTTAGGTAGGCTGCTTGTTTTTGCTGTTCTTTATCATTATTATCAGTAGAATAGTAGTAGTAATAGTAATAGTCTCAATAGTAGTTGAAAATACTAATACTATTAGTGCAAATATAGCAGTAGGCGATTTAAGAAAAATAACATACATTTTTATAAATACTCAAAACACATTATTATTTCTGTAATTTAGACGATATTCCTATATGTTGTTTGACAGGAGTGGCAGTGTGATTACAGACTTTGTACTGGAGGCAAACAGTGTGAATTCCACTGCAATTGCCACACTGAACAGTCAGGTTGCAGTGGATCTTCAGGCCCAGGGTTACAGTGTTGACCGAAGTTCCTTCGGTGGAGTTGTTCAAGGTAGGATGAAAATCACAGGCACTAAATGGTTTGTCACTGCAGACAGATATACCAAGTTTCACTTGAAGTAATTGGAACTTTGTTGACTAAGGTGAAGACTTAGGGCTCTATCTAACGCCCTAAGCCTGTCTCTATCTGACAATCTAAAGCAAAGCATAAAGCCAAGATGCAAGAAACATTTATGGGCATGTCCAAATCCATTTTGCTATTTTGATGGCAGAAAAAAGACTCTGTGTTAGCACAAGGCGCAGAACAGTTGTCATAATTCTCTTAATTATTCAGAGGTATGTTGTGTCCAGATGGTTGTTGGTTTAGATCCCATGTCCAACAGAGTAACCATATCATTGTCGACCCTTTGAGCAAGACTATTAACCCCAGCTACTCCAGGGATGCTGGATGCTGGGGGGTTTGTGCGACGCACCAGC